TGTGTGTGTGTGTGTGTGTGTCTGTGGGAGTGCGTGCGCACGCGACGCAAGTATGTATGCCTTTTTATGTATGTGTGTCACATGATCGAGGATTTGATTCCATAGCCAACCTCAAAGAAGCTGTTATTATGAAACTTCTCGGAAAACTGTTCCATTGAGAATGTGAAAACAAGATGACAGGGCGCAAGGGGAAATAATTATTAAAACACAAGTGAGAACCAGTCCCCGGAAGTTACAACCCTTGATTGATTACAAAAACAGTACCGGTACACGCCCTTTTTGGAGCTTGAGTGCTTCACATATTTCATATTAATGTGATTATCAAATATGTTTGTTTCATCTCTAAACAAATAAGAACACTTTCAACTTTGTACCTTAATCTGTGTTTGTCTTTCCCACACTATTTGTTTTATCCTTTGCCTTTAGCCCTTTAATTTTAAAAAGCTGTAGGCTCTTGGCACTATTTAACGTAAGAAAGCACTTACAAGTGAACAGAAACAGAATCTGAAAGAATATAACTATTATAAGGATCTTAGATTACGATAAGAATAGAGTTGAACCTGTGCAAGATAGAATCGCAAGGGAGCCAGAAAAAAATTATGTCTTAGACATTTTCCGTCAATGCCCAGCCCGCGGATCTAGGATCACTTTTCCGATCCGCAAACAATGGTAAAAACTTCACACCTCTCATGTGCTATCCTCTATGATTATGGCATACGTCAGTCTTACTTATCCATTGCCATTGCCGTCAGTGCTTGCATTTCATAGGATCACTGTTTGACCTATTTAAAACACAAGGCCACGTTTGAGCACCTCTTATGCTTCCACCCTTTAGGCTTTAGCCCCACTCATCGGTGTAATAAGCACAGACAACAAATTTTAATGCTCTCCCTCACTGCCATGAAACAACGAATCGAGGAGCTCTTTTCTCGGCTAGCTGTACGATCAGGGCGGCAGGCATTGGTCAGACTAATAATTTCACACCTCTGGACTGTGGCTACCCCGTGAAAGTTTCCGTGCTGGAGCGCCACGCGAGTACTTTCACTGGCATTCGTGAGATTTCACAACCACACCTCCCTGACCATTTGCACCACTCAGGGCTCACATGGATATAAAAGGAAACATCTACCCCCAAATTGCATCCATACTCCCCTTCCTCGCCTGGCAGCATGGCGTAACATTTGGAGCCGGCGGAACCCACCTTGCGAGTTTTCTTTCAAATCAGGGCTGAGTGGGCAAAGCATCCGTCTTAACCTGAGAAGGGAGCAGATTTTTTTTTCATTTCCCCGCAGGTTTCGTTTTATAAGGTAATTAAAAAGGAATATATCAGGGGGAGCGGGGAGATTCCGGTGTATTTTTTGGGTTTTTTTTGGGGGGGCGGGGGCTACAGCTGAAAGTCCCGATTCGGCTCAAAACTATGGATTTCAAGTGTAGGGATTTTTAGCTTCTTCGGCCTCTCCTTCAACTATTTCACCGCATAAGAACCACGTAAAGCCGTATTTCTTCCCATACCAGGCATGTTTGTCACCACCATTTCTTCTTAAAGTCAATCTTTTATTTTTTTTAATCGCCGTTTTTCTCGAAACGTCGTTTTTCTATATACTTTTGTTAATATCTCCACAATTTTTCATCCGATCTTCATGAAATTTTCCCTGAATGAAGAAAAGATGTAATACTAAAACTTTGAGTGATGATTTTTTGATATATGGAATAGATTTAGTTTTTCGTTGGTGGTGTATGGGTATGAGTATGGATTTTCACTGAATTTTTTGCAAACGTGAACACTACCTCAGGAAAATATTCATTAAAAAATGTTCTAGGACCTTTAGGAATCTCATAAATTTGTAGATCTATCATTTGCCAAGATGCATGCAAAAAAGCATTTATTTCCATAAAAAATAAGTGTGGTATTAATTACGTAAGATAAGTCAACAAAATCCAATATGGACGACGTATCCATGGAAATGAAATTTTTTTCTCAAATTGTATTGCGGATATTAAGACTCCTTACTAAGCTTGTTATATGTGTGAAGTTAAGTAACATTTGATATACTGATAAGCGAGATAACCTTCAGCTGTAGGTTGTTGTTTTTTTTTGGGGGGGGGGGGGTTTGGGGGGGGGGTTGTTTGTTTGTTTGATTTGTTGGATTTCATTTATCTGCTTTTGGGGAGACGAAGTGAACATTGTCTTCCTTTTCTACTGCCAGTCCATGACAAATGTGTCGTCCGCTATCTTATATTTGTACTCAAACAATGCTGTCTGCCATTGAAATTTTAACCTTCTCCAAAATCACTCCCAGGAGTACGCCTAACTTAAGAGAGTTTAGGCCCCATGCATCGTTTTCGTTTTGTCCTATTAAGTCTCATTGATCAGTCTAAATTTCAGGGTTTTGTAGGTTTTTTTCTGTTTCGATTTTTTTTCTTTTTCTTTTTGTTGTTGTTGTTATTTTTGTTTGGGTTTGTTTGTTTTTTTTTGCTTTGTTCTTTTTTTGCTGTGGGAAGATACACAACAGTGTTAAAATATTTTAATGTATTAGCCTACTAATACTAATAATAAAACTATGAACTACTACTTTTTTATTTTTATTTTATTTTTTTTATTTATTTTTTTTTTTTTTTTTTTTTTGGGGGGGGGGGGGGGGTAAGTGTTTTACAGCGCTCACAGCTGCATAAGGTCATATGAGCGCGCAGGACACACTTAACTTTTTTAGTTGGTAGGAAATTTTGAATTTTGCACAGGTAACGGCCAAAGCCTACTCTTGTCGATTTTAGACCATAAAAGGATCGTCCCAATTTTATAAAATACTCAAATCATAAAAAAGGAAAGAACTACGCAAGATATGCTTTTCTTATATTTTTTATATATCCATTCACACAATGGAGAATGACACCAGGTTTGTGCATGTGTGTGTTTGATGAAATATCTTAATTATTAGAGTATTTTATAACAACTACGTAAAGCTGCATTTTGAATTTTTTCTATATATGTATAAAGTCTCCTGGTCCTTCACTCACGCCTTGCTCTGCTAGAGATTTACTTTATGTTAAAAACTTTGCCGGTATAGAATACTTCAGAGGGTTTTTTTTCTCCAATTTTCCCTTTTTCACAGTAGAGAGAGAGAGAGAGAGTGTGTGTGTGTGTGTATGTGTGTGTGTGTGTGTGTGTGTGTGTGTGTGTGTGTGTTTGTGTGTGTGTGTGTGTGTGTGTGTGCGTATGTGTATACACCTCAATAATAGAAATACCCTACGATAGACAGACATTAACTTGCTCATACATCAACTAGCTTTAGCTATGGTGTACGCTGCAGGGTCATCATAGTGCGGGCAGCAGTCCACATACACAGGTGCACACCATACACACAGGGAAGGGAAACAACTGTTCTCAAACTCCTCTGGCGCTTCTCGGTCCTTGACTGTAGCCAACCTGGGGACGGATGGTCTGTGATAAAAATGGATACCTCCAGGTCTTAGTTCGTTTCAGTGAGTGTTTTACGTCACTCCAACACAAAATTAGGTCATATAAGTGCCGAGGGTTAGAGGTGTTACTATAGAGAGTAACTAAAACAAAAAAGAAGGAGAGATTAGGACGATAGGTGTTTAATTTGGAATAAGGATCAATCCACACCAGAGCACTCACCAGCCCTTTGCTCCTCCCGATTTATGTCACTGTGTTTGACCATAGACTTGTATTATAATATCCCACCCAAGTCGTGCACTCTGACGTAATACCAGTTCAACATGTTCGCACCACTAGACTCAATTTGGAGCCTTTTGTCTTCCAACGTCGTTTCGGGGTCCTTTTACATCATGTACTATTCCAGAAAACTGCATACTTCTATTTCAAAATTTACCGACTCACGAAAGGTCAAATCCTCTGCTAGTAAAGCACATATCAAGCTTCCAATCGGTTAGGGTAGTTATCGATAATATTATAAAGACGACTAGTTTGACTTACCAGTCACAGAAATTGAAACCTCCTTTGATTGCAAGCGGTGCTTCTGTATGTGGGCAGCATTTTTCCGAGTGGTTGAAGTATGGTGCTCTAGATTGAAAGGAAAGAGACGTTATTATGTGTCTAAAAAGTCAAACTATCTAAACTCAACGAATTGTATCGCATGGATGACATAAAAATATGCATATGAAAAGTTGCACAAGGTAAGAGGGCGAAGAAAAGAATCAACACCTCAATAAGAATTACCCTTTTACTAGCAGATCTGTATGTTTAGCTAATAGTTATAAAGTCGTACAAAACTCTTGCCAACACAATGGGTTAAGCGACCTCTCACAGTACGACCGTCTACCAATTCGGCTTAATCCTCATACTCCACCAGACGGACACTAATTAAGGATACTCCCAAGCACAACAGTTTTATTTTTAAATAAGAACTTGCTGTTCCCTTTATTTTTTCCATCAACATGGTAATGGAGAAATGAAAATGCAATATTATAGTATGGCAAAAACTTCTAAATATTATACCCCCGGCCCTTCCCTCT